TGTGGATGCAGCCTGAATCTGTCATTATGATATATTCAGCTGTATAATAGGAATAGTTTTCCATGTTGCTAAAATCAATGGCTGTACTTTGGGATTGCACTTTGAGTTGAAAGTAAGGGGACAATGGGGGGATAAGAGTAGGTAAGGTGTGTCTGGGGTGATTCAGTAAAGGGCTTGCTAAAGAAGGCATAAAAAGGGAAAGCAAATAGTGCCTGCAACAAATCTAGAACTCACATTTGTTCACTCATTGGAAAAGGAGCTAAGACTACACACAGTCTCTTAGGTAAGATCACTTATGATTAATAATATTCTTCAATAAGGACTGCACTGAGTTTGATCTGGCAAAGTTTGATCATACCCATTGAGTTTGATCATATGTGGTGTCCCCCAAGGGGCAATCCTCTCCCCAATGTTATTTTACATCTTTATGCTCCACTTCCCCCAGCTGGCGCAGAGCTTTGGGCTTGGGTGTCACCAGTACGCTGGTGACACTCAGCTATATCTGTTGATGAGCAGCTATCTGAATGCAGCCCCAGAGAATCTGGCCAAGGGTTTGGACACTGTGGTTAGTTGCTTGAAGCCAGCTGAAACTAAATCCATCAAAGATGGAGGTCCTGTGGCTGGGGCGGGAGGGATGCTGGGTTGGGATGCCAGCTCCCGGCTCTTGATGGTGTGCCATTAACATCTGGATTGTCCATCAGGAGCTTGGGGGGATCCTAGATGCTTCCCTTTCAGTGGAGGCCCAGGTCACAAAGATTGCTAAACTGGCATTTTACCATCTTTGCCAGGTTAAACACTTGGTTCCCTTCCTGTCTCTTTCTAAGTTAGCCACAGTGATCCATGCAGTGGTCACCTCCAGGTTGGACTACTGAAACTCGCTCTATGCAGGGCTTCCCTTCAGGCTGATCCAAAAATTGCAACTGGTTCAGAATGCAGCTATGTGGATTCTGACAGGAACATCCTCTAGAGCACATATTCAAGTGGTGCTCTACCAGCTGCACTGGCTCCAGATTGAGGACCGGATCAGGTTCAAGGTTTTGGTGTTGACTCACAAAGCCCTAAATGGTCTGGGACCAGCATATCTTCAGGACTGCCTTTCCTGATATATCCCCCAAGGGGCGTTACACTCTAATGATCAAAATCTACTGGTGATCCCTGGCCCAAAGTACATCTGGCTGTCCTCAACCAGAGCCAGGGCCTTTTTAGCCCTGGCTCCAACCTGGTGGAACACTCTCCCGGGAGAGATCAGGGCCCTGTGGGACTTGTTACAGTTCCATGGCACCTGTAAAATGAGTTGTTCTCCTGGGCTTATGGCTGAGGGCAGCAACCGGCTCCATCTCGACAAGTTCCTTCTCGGATTGGCCTCCCGCTTTTCTCCCTTTCTCCCCTTCCCCTCCCCTTTCTTTCTTATCAGACAGTCATACATAACTCCCCCCTGAGATTTTACATCATCTATTAGTGGTATAGCTGGTTATACTCATTATGTATTTTATTCATTATGCATTTTACTGTATTTTCTGTAATTATGTATTAGAATTATAATGTTTTAGATGGTTGACTGTTTTTATAAATGATGTCACCCTCTCTGAGCCTCCAATAAATCAAATGGGGGGGGGAATGAAAATGAGACTTCCTTTCCCACTCCAGTCACGTTGCTAGAGCCACAAGCAATGGGCATCTTATTGGCCCCTGCAAAGCTGCTTGTCATTAAAAATAATTCTTTAACTGTGCAGAAGACAACTGTGTTGGGCTATAGTATGTAATAACCAGTGCCTGGGTGATGGCAATTGTGAATATGAATCTCAGAGTAACACCTTGCAGTATCTCATTAAACATATGCTGAACATTATCATGCTTTGCATTGTTGTTCCTTGTTTATGAATTGATAAAGCTACTAGTACATAATTTCATCCTGTTGCCTGGACATGTTTTGTTTTCTGTTTTGGTTCTGTCTGAAGCAGACTTCATAAGGGGAAGTTAATACTTTTTAAATACATGGATAAAATAGTATTCTAAGGGGCAGACTCAGTGGTCTGCTCCATTGCCCCAAACAATCCATTAGTGAGTTCTACCCACAAACTAGATATGATAACAGCAGACACATTTGCTTGCTCACTTTCAGGAGATAAGTTGATAAACCCTGGCAACATAAAGCATAGGGTGTGTGTCTGGGTAAGGGGGTTGTCTAATGTTAATAGCCAAGGTGATTCTCACCCAGCCCAGCTGTCCTCTGGTCTCAGAACTGGGCTGGAGAAAGTGTTCAGCCATGGGTCAGTAGAAAGGTGAAGAAGAGTTCATCTACCTTCACCTGTGGACTCCTTAAAATTAGAGCAAACCCAATGAACACAGAATAGGTTTGAAAGAAAAAAGGGTCCTATGTCATCAGTTGTCCTGGAATGATATGAACACAGAATAGGTTTGACAGAAAAAAAGGCTCCTATGTCATCAGTTGTCCTGGAATGATATTAGCCAGTTAGGTGGTGATTCACAGCTGAGGTGAAAGAGTCAATAATCCAAACAAGATAAATTCTGCAGTCCACTCCTTTTCGTTCCTGCAAATCAATGTAAGCAGCAGAAACAGGTTTGTTTACCTCAGTGGATGCAGTTTCATAAAGCAAAACAGTGACTTATGAATGACCCATCAGGGAGTCAGTATGGCTGAAATGCCTTGGAATTCCATATTGGTGTGGTTGCAGAGTCTTATCTCAGAACAGCAATCAGTAAACATCTCAGAAATACTAGAAAATCAGACAAGACAAGGAAAACACTGGCTATCTGCCAAAGCACAGGTATTGTTGGCTAAGAAAAGGCAGCTTGTTTAGCAGCAGGGGACAACAGGAGAACCACAGCTAATTTGAATATTTTGTTGCATGGAATTAATCCAATTTGCACATTACTGTCAAGAATGGAGAACTGCAGCTTGCTAGGTCTCCTATATTTACTCTACAATATTTATATTCTGGAATCAGTTCTTTCAGAAATCTTGACCTGTCCTTGAAAGCATGTCACACAAAGAAGTGTACATTTGAGCTTCTTATTATTCACCACTTTAATGCTGACCATTTTGCATATATCAGTATCTTCTAAGTGTATCTGCAGCCACAAGGGCTGGAATCTTGAAAAACAAAATGAAATACTCTAATACTCAAGCTCATGGGAAACAAAAAAGTGTATTGGACTAAAGTGCCTTTAAGTCTCATGTTGCTTGTTTCTGCAGTAGCCATCTTGCCCATTGTAACCTAAAATTGCTTAAAAATACAGCTTTTAAATTTCTCAGCTGTAACAATCATGTGTTAAGTACTATTTAATATTAAAAATCTCTGTGTTTTCATTCACAGCCCTCAAAGCATTTTGCACTAGAAGTCAGCATCATTATCCCTGTGTTATAGATGAGAGAAATCATGGGCACAGAAAAGTCATTCACCAGACCAGGCAGGAACTAGAACAAGCACCTATTTATGCTGACTTTTATTACCTCCTTTGGTTATGTTGCTGCCATTAGAGGATCATTACCTAGCATTAAAAATTCAGCTACAGATTTAAGGACTTTTGGCTTCAGGAGGGGAAAAAATATTCCTCTTATTGTTCCATATAAAGCCTTTTTGGGAGCCTTTCAAGCCCCTGGAGCTAGGAGAAGCATTTTTAAACAGTCGTCATAGGTCACTTTTCAGATCCAGGGCCCGGGATTAGTTTGACACTGAATTGACATTATATTAGTTTTATGATGCCTGCTGAGAAATGCCATGATTGGAGAGCAGAGGATGGAGGCTCTCTGGACCACTGCGCTCTTGTAGCACCAAAAAGGCTGTGTTTGGGGAATGCTACTGGGATATTACCAGAGAGCAGATGAGATCTGTTATGAGAGAAAAAATAATGAAACAATTGGGTTACTCCATGGACAGAAAAACAGATGGGGGAAAACTACCTGCCTTCCTCATCTTCCCTTTGTGGGGCTAAACATCTATCACTAAAGTGTGAGCACACTGGTTGACCTTAATTCTTCAGATGGCATATGAGGAGAGATGTTGCCTCTAAAAGACATTGTCTCAATTCCTACAGAGTCTGTTGAATATCTTGGTTTCTTTATTTCTGCACATGTATGTACACAGTTGGCATGAAGGTACTATATCCTGCAGAGCCGTGTTCCAATAATAAATATGATTTCCTGTTAAATAATACAGTTTTGTCCTTTCATTCACCTTGGAGGTGACCACAGAATGAATTATACAGCCATAAGAGAAACAACCCCCCCCCATATTATATAGAAAGGAGGAGTGCTCAGATTAGGATTATGTTATGAGGAAAATTGATAGTTTTGTTTTGTGGGTGGCGGTTGTTATTTTTCATAAGTGGCTTTATGCATTTGACACAGTGAGTTCTGGTTTACCAAGTTTATACCACTACAAATTTGTCAGTCTTTAAGATGCCAGAAGATTTTGTGTTAATTTGGTTGCAGTAGACTACCATGGCTATACCTTGAAAATATGTTACATGTTGCAAAGTCTTGTGGTTGTGTGTTTTAGGCAGGGCTTTTTTTGTAGAAAAAGCCCAGCAGGAACTCATTAGCATATTAGGCTACACCCATGGCAGCACAGCTCATTAGCATATTAGGCCACACCCATGTGTTACCTGAAGTGTGGTCATCCAGCCACACCCACCTTTTGCTTCTTATTCTGTTTACCTTGTTTGTTGTCAAAACCCAGGGCTTTTTTGTAGCAGGAACTCCTTTGCATGTTAGGCCACACACCCCTAATGTAGCCAATTCTAATGCCTTTCTGCTGTTGGGTGTGGCCTGTTATGCTAATGAGCTCCTGCTGGGTGTGGTCAATTTGGGAGCCAGCCGGAACTCCGTTCCTGTGTGTTCCTGCCCAAAAATAGCCCTGGTTTTAGGCCTTCAGCTCAAGTACTTTCACAGCCTTTCCCCACTTATAGCAATGTATCTCAGACCAAAGCAGATGATCTTTATCTGTTGTTGTTGTTTTTTTGCTCTTTTTCTCAAGAATCCTACAGTGAGCTCCCTGAGTCCCAGCCGTGGGCCGGAGTCAGGAGGGACCATGGTGACCATCACTGGCCATTTTCTTGGGGCTGGCAGCAGTGTGTCGGTGTTGCTTGGTAACCAGACCTGCGAGTTTTATGGGTAAGGGGCTGATATATGCACATGAGCATACATTGTAATCTCTTCTCTGCTTCATGGGCAGCATTTCAGCTGTTCCAGCTGTAAACGCCCATCCTCTCATTAATCACCTTAAGTCATCGTGCATGTGACAGTGATGAGAGCTGCATAGTAATGACCAATTTAATGTTTATTAATTTTATGTAATGCTTCATTTAGATATATTTAAATCCTGCCTCCTCCCCAAATCCCAAGCACATGCTGTTTTTTGTATTTTTTCCGTCCCCTTGTTCTTGAGAGGAAATATAATCCTGAAAGAACAACAGGCAGCTCCTTCCACTCTATTATCTGCATTGTAGTGCTGGCTGCAGGTGTGTCTGCCTCTTGGTAATACTCTGAACGGTGGGAAGATTTAGTCTGAGTGACAGGTACTAAGGATGAAAATGTTCTTTTGTCTTGGGACTTGGCCATCGTAAATAACTGTTTTAAGTTTTTACAATGACTTTTTTTCCCTTTCAAAATCCAGCCTCTTGAATGAAAACAATGGTGCTTCACACTAGTTGTCTTTTCTAAACATACAGGAGTTTGATTTATATACCATGATTTTATGCCATTATATACACTATGGTGATGATCAATAAATATAGACACATGAAATAAAATAATGTGATCAGAAACCAACAAGAGGAACAGGGCTTTCCTGCCTCCCAGCTCTCACTCCAGGCTACAGTGTTCCCTCAATGATGACCCAAGAGCTCAGGGAAACTCTAGGAAAAGTGCTAGGTGTGATGTGGGGGCATGCACTGAAAAGAGTGACTCAAACTACCTTGACTGATGGTAGAAGTGTGCTTCTGTCAATGGAAACTGAGATTTAAATCCATGCTATAATTGTGTGCTTTACTTAGGCAGCTGAGTAAGAAGTACTGTCTCTATAGAGGACATAGCTGTACACAGTTTGGTATATATGTGTGTAGATTCTCTCCTCCCCAGACCAGTCCAGGAATGGGAGGGAAAGAATTCTACACTTGAAACATACATTACACAAGAACCCAGGAGAGATAGCCTCTCTGGATTTACAGACACAGCCACCAGGATCTCTAGATTAATCCCTCACCAGCCTGAGATTAGAGATCCAGAATCATAGTTGGCATGTGGATTTTACACTTCCACAACTCTGTAAGAATTTGTACAGTCCCCAGACCAGTCCAGGAATGGGAGGGAAAGAATTCTACACTTGAAACATACATTACCCAGGAGAGATAGCATCTCTGGATTTACAGACACAGCCACCAGGATCTCTAGATTAATCCCTCACCAGCCTGAGATTAGAGATCCAGAATCTCAGTTGGCATGTGGATTTTACACTTCCACAACTCTGTCCAGAGCTGTACAGTTAATCTTAGCAAGGTAGCATAATTGGTGAGCAGTTCAGACAACAGGATCTAGCTTGGAGTCAGTTGCACATCAAGCAAACACTATTTATAAACAAGAATAAGGTTTATTCAGTACAGACTTGCAATCAGATTAGAAGAATTCAAAAGAACAACCTAAGCAATGTTTTGCCTTACTACACAATAATAAGTATGTTTACCAAGTCAGGAACAAGTATCAGTCCAGAATAGTCCATAGTAAGAGTCCAATAGCTCCAAGGGATTTGGAGCAAGAAGTCCATCTTTGCAAGCATGCAGCCATGTGCTCAGCTGCACAAAAGAGTTCTTTGTTCTGCCTGGGACAGCATTTCCCAGGTACAATTCAACAGTAGGGAGAGAGCAAGAGAAGAATCTGAAATCTCCTCCAAGGGTCAGACAATTAAAAACCCCAATCTAATTAGAATTGGCTGTGGCCATCAGCCAATCCAATGAGGAAGGGGTTGTCCACTTTTGGGGGTTTTCATGGCAATGGGTGGGGGATAGGCTAGGTCTGGGGAACACCCTCTGCAGTGAATGATCCCAGAGTCCAACCCACCTTGGGCCTACGTGCCTGTTTGCTCATCAGCTAGGGCATCTGCTCTTCTGCCAGCGAGTGAAGGAATGTTTATGGCAGGGCTATAAAGGACATCTGGTTGGCTTCAATAGGAAATCAAAACAGCAGGGGATCACAAGATACATTCCAAGGGAGACATGAAGCCTATAGAACATTCCAAGGGAGACATGAAGCCTATAGAAATTAATATTTATATACAATATGTTTTAAGTAACATGTGTATTTTAGGATTTTTCACAAAATGAAATCAACCTTTCCTGTTTCATAAACTGCTGTGTGATTTAGGCAAATCACATGGTCTGGTCTCATGGTTCAACATAAAGGCCCTGAAAGGAAGATGATACCCCTTAGCCCTAAGTCCTAGTATGGAAATATGGTCATATGATCACAAGATGGTTGTTCAGATGCTATAGTCTAGATACCTAATTAAAGAGGAATTGGAAATTTAAGCATTTCTTTTCTAACCTTGTTCAAGAAGGAAAGTTGAAAGCTAGGGATACATGTTATGGTAAGGCCTCGCCACCTGAATCTGCTGTTAGTTAGTCATTCCTTCTGGAGTCCACCATTTGAAGAACCTAATATACTTCTTCCCTTTTTATCTTTCTTCTTTTACCTGCTATAAAACTTGCCTTTCCCTAGCTGCATTATGTAGTCTAATGAGAATGTTATATATCAGAATTGCTGCCTTCTGCAGCCTCTGAGAAGATAAAATAACCCAGCACACCCACTTTATGCCTGGACTGGGAGACAGTAGATTAGGGGCAGCATGTTAATAAATGGGTAGGATTTAATGGATTTACTACTTCCTCATCTCGTTTAATAATGAGTTCCATTTATACCTTTGGAACGAATAAAAAGAAAAACAGAATATGCCTAGTTAAATTTTACCACCTATTTCATTTCTTATCTGCAGATGAGGTTCCTTCTTCATAGCCTTTGCTTTTCAGATGTCCTTTTAAGTCTGGAGTTGCATAAGAGCTCTCAAAAACTGGTGCTGGGAGGCACTGATGTTTACAGAGCTCTGCCTTTTTCTAGTTTACATGACTACAGTCAGCCCTGTTGGGCCCAAGTATAGGACAGGAAAAATTGCCAACTGTACCACATTATTTGTTGCTTCAGAAAGCACAAGCAAAATATATCTTATAGTAACCTTGGCCATCTTTGTACTGTTTCAACTGCTCTTCTGGAAGCACAGGCTGGATGGTATACTGTGAGAAGGTGACTATACAGCTGTGAAGAGTTACTGGTTGGTGCTAGTTGTTCTGATTAGTCTCTTTGGTTTCTGACTGAGAGAGTCTCATTGCAGGCATCTGAGATCTTTATTTATTTCCAAATGTATCATGCCTTCCAGCTTGCAAGAATTACCTTCATAAGGTGGCTAAGAAACTATAGAGCATATAGTAATTTTAAACAAATTATTGGAAACACAATTAGTTTATACATGGTTGGTGTAACACAGTAACTAAGAGAATCAGTTCTGATTCCGTCTCAGCCACAAAGTCATTTGGGGACTTAAGGCAAGCCAGCCCTTCTATCTAGAGATAATAATACCTGTCTACCATGCACAGCTGTTGTAAAGTAATAGTAACAGTATGTAAAACATTTAGAAACCTGAGAAATAGCTGGAATATCTATCTCTGATGGACTGTCAAAGGTTTATGCCTAACAGGGTCTCAAAACCTTTGAGTGACAGGCTGTTCAAATTGAATTCTGTGGAGAGAGTCAGTTAAGAAATGACAATTGGGAACTGACAGTTGAAGAAGAGACAGTTAAGCACTAACTGTGGACTAGGAAGGAGGCAAAAGGAGTGAAAGGATCAGCGAGGATCCCCATTCAATCTGAAAAGGAAATAAAATTCTAGTTAAGAGAAGTCATCCCTGCCCAGATGAAAGGGAGATAGCTCTTAAAAGAGGTGTGATCCCAGGTCTGTGTATATAGAAGGATTCTGGGAATTTGGTTGTATGTGCTTTCTAGACTTTAAGAGGCAGTGACATTCAGAAACCTATCCTTGAGTGTTTAAGCAGAAACAGAAAAGAAAGCCTCTCTCCTCAAAGTTTTAAAAGACCTGTTTGAATAGCAGGAACACTTACTTGTTGACAACAAATTATCTGGAGTTAGTGTGATTACAAAGTTACCTCAATTTTATTATTGGTTCACCTCATACATCCTATCCCTGATTCTACCTGATCTTTTCTTTTCTAAGTTAATAAAACATTTTGTTTATTTTGAATTTTCAAAAGCCTCTTGTGTGCCATTTCAGAAGCTGAATATAAGGTGATCGTGTCTCTTCCCTCCGTTCCCTAGACTGGGCCAGCATCTGTATCGGTAGACAGACAGACACGCAGGCAGGCAGGCAGAGTTAGAGATATATGTAAGCGACAGGGTGAGAAAGTCATAGACAAATAAGAAGAAAATAAAGTGGCTGCTCAGCAAGGAAGAAGACAAAAAAAATGGAAAATCCTATGCATAAGGAATAGAAGAGGGCAAGATTGCCATACCATCGTAAAAATAACAATTCAGCCATACTTAATGGCTGAGTTGTTTCTTTAGATCCTAAACATCAAGAGCTTGGCAAAGTAGAAGGCTTTGACTTTCTTCCTTAAAGTGTCCAAACAGCTGTGTACATTCATGCCTTGTAGAAATCTCTAGGAGAGATCATGTGAGATGGCAGGCACCATAACAGAAAAATGCTAGGCAAGACAAGTAGGGAAGATTCTTCTTCAAAGAGTTTCATATTGCCCTCTGTATTCTTTTGCACAGTATTTGGTATTTTAAGAAACAGTTCTATTCCTCTCCTAACCAGTCAAGACGCTGAAATGTTAAGGAGTCCCACTGCCCTGCTCAGCTTTTACACAAGGTCTGAAGGGTATGACTGGGCTTATATAGAATCATACAGATGGGTTCCTGGAATTGGAAGGGCCTTATAAACTGTCTAGTCCACCCACATCCTTAGTTCAGGAAATTCAGATCTAGAGCATTCCCACCAGACAGCTGTCTAGCCACAGCATGAAGCCCTCCAAAAAGAAAGAGCCACCCACCACTGAGTTAATTGTTCCATCCGTGATATGTTTTCACTATTAAGATGAAGACTTTCTCTTAATGATCATCTGAAATCTAGCCTACTGTAACTTAAGCCCATCCATCTTCCTGTCTGAAGTAGAAGAAAACAAGTCCTTTCTCTCTTCCTTGTGACATCCTTTCAGATATTTGAAGAGTGAGATCATGTTTCCCTGAATCTTCTCTTCTCAAGGCTAAATGCACCCAATTCCTTTAACCTTTCCTTACATGGCTTCTTTTTCCACATCTCAGGCAGGTAGCTTTTTCAATAATCAAATTTAATATTTTGTACTAGTGTGGGTTATTTTTAGAATGTTTTTCCTAATGTGCAGATTAAAGAAATATTTAAGAACGTTTGCCTTTAGAACCAGAATTATTCCACCACAATTGCTCGTGTATATATGTATACTTACATTTAGGTGCTGCTCCTAATTCACCATATGATCCAATTACCCCCCATAAACCAGTAAATCAACATTTTTCCAAATCTAGCAGTCTCCTGTTTTACTCCTGCCTTTCTATGCAAGGTCATAACATGGTCCATTTCTTTTCTTTTCTTCTTCTTTTTTTAACTACATGGTTTGTAGGTGATGAACTTGGCATGTACTTATGATGTGCAGGGAGACTGATTAGATGAAGCAGTTTCTAATGAGATTCACTATAATTACAGCTTCTCTCTATTCTCCTGCCTGTGATCGGGGGAGTAGGGAGATTCACCATGACGACATGGTAATAGCGCAGAAAGCTAATTAACTGATCACAGGGAGCTTGCAGTAACTCTTTGCCGGCAGTGATATGTCGCTTTGGATCTCGCACAAGGGCTAAGCAGGCTTCTCTGAAGTCTGGTCTCTGGCATGGTAAAATGCCTGTACTCATCTGAGGCCACTGGCAGGTAGAAGGACAAGGCAGGGAAGGCTGTGAGAATCATTCTGTTCTAAAGGAAACTGGCTCTTTCAAAGGCCCACACTACACTGAGGTATTGTAGTCTCTCATCACATTCTAACTCCATTTCCTCTGCCTTTCCTACTAATCTTTACCGTGGCTTCTTCCTTTGTCCTGCGTCTCCTCCATCTAAATTTAGATTGTAAGTTCCTCAGGGCAAAGACTTTTTTGCACACTTTTGGGGAAAGATACAGAATGGTATGGATAAAAACAAGCCACATTGTCAGATTATGAGTCATAAAATAATAACCACCTTTCTCGAAGTCCTACACATCCATCTCAACTCCCTCTGATAAAAAGGTAGGACTAACATTTAGTTGTTTTTGGAGTGGTAGTAAAAAATTCTCCTAACATGAGGAGCTAAGAGACAGACATGAATTGCCCCTTTCCCATTGCAGACTAGCATGAAGCACATACAGGGGACCAGTGCTCCCCCTAAGCAGAGTTAGTGTGAGCTAGCTCACAGTTTTTTAGCCTCCGGCTCACATATTTTTGCCTCCGCTCAGGAAGGATGGCTCCAGAGCAAACTGATTTATGCAGTAGCCAAATGCTCTCACAACTTTCATGCCAGTAGCTCACAAAGTAGACTTTTTGCATACAGGACTCTGTAGCTTAGAGGAAGCATTTTTGGGGACCAGTGTTCCCTCTAAGCTGAGTTAGTATGAGCTAGCTTACAGTTTTTTAGCCTCTGGCTCACACATTTTTTTCTTAGGAAGGATGGCTCCAGAGCAAACTAATTTATGCAGTAGCCAAATCACCTGCTCACAACTTTAATGCCAGTAGCTCACAAAGTAGAATTTTTGCTCACAGGACTCCACAGTTTGGAAGGACCATTGCTGGGGACTGTATCTTTCCATTTTTTGTGTGTCAACATCACACAATCCAAGTAGTATTATTACTGTTAATTATTATGGTTAATTATGTTTATTACATCTGAATTTAAGAAGGTTAAAACCTTCAAGACTGTAATTTTATGATTGCATGTTTATCTGTCAGGTGTATATCTCTGGGCCAAACTGGATGTTTGTGTGTTTTAATGAAAATCAGTATTGGCTGGCTACAATCAGGCAGATGCTTAACTCTTTCCATTCCTACCATTTATCTGCTCAGATTTATCTCCCCTGCCCAGCTGCATTTCCACATTAAAAAAAAAAAGATAAAGAGGAGGCAGGGTGGTGTGGAGAAGAGAGAAAGCAGGGAGAATCTTCCCTTCTCCTGGCTATCCTGTGCACTGGGCACCATGACCTGCTTCCACTGTAGCAGCAGAAAAATTGGAAGTGGGGAGGTGAAAAGAGAGGAGGAGAAAGTAATCTCTGGCTCAGATGTACCATCTGACCCAAAGAAAAATTCAGGGGTATGTAATTCTCTCTTTACATTGAAGATAAAGCTACTTTCTTCAGAATATAGTAAAGAGTGAACATTATAAGCATTGTAGTGTTACTATCTCTTTTTCACTTGTGTAGTTGTTAAAGGCAACTTTTCCCCCTTTTCTCTTTCAGGAGGTCCATGAATGAAATTGTGTGTGTCTCTGCCCCCTCTACTCATGGCCTCGGCTCTGTTCATGTCTCTGTTGCCGTGGATCGGGCACAGTTAGAAAGCACCTTGCAGTTTGAATACATCGATGACCCCAAAGTTCAACGCATTGATCCTGAATGGAGCATAGCCAGGTAGCTGGGCTTATAACTGGAGAGGTGGGAATGATGAATGGGATCAAAGCATGACTGATCTGCCCTCTCCTGATTAAAGTCATGTGAGCTGGTTTGAGCTTTAGATGAATTAGTTCAAGCCACATGACTTTACAAGGCCTATACCTCCCATCTTCTCCTGCCTGAAACACCAGAATAAAGGAATCTCCCATCAAGTGTTGGGGGGGAAAGAGACAGGATTTCATTTCCTAAACCAAGAAGCAGAATGCAGTGGAATCTCTCATGTTTCATTTAGGAGCCCACCTCAGTTCCGTGCGCACCAGTGGCAGCATAATTCTAGAAGGCCAACCGTGCTAGCCCATTGCAGCAAAAACCAAAAAAGTCTTGAGGCACTTGAAAGTTTAACAGATTTCTCGTGACATAAATTTATGTGGACTAAATGAAATTAGGTCTAGTACATACAAGTATATACCACAATACATCTGTTAGCCTTTTTTAGTTCTACAAGCTTCTTCTTCTTCTTCTTCTTCTTCTTCTTTGTAAGGATCAGGCTCATCCATTTGTCAGAATGTTTCCTACAGACATCTTTGGTTTAAACATGCTTGAAATCCAGAGATATTTGTGTGGCGAAATCAGACAGGATGTATTTCAAAAGACGATAAAATTTATAACTTACTTTAGGTATATAACTGGAACCTCACCTTGAAGTAGAGCTAAGTCACAAATTCAATCCAATATTCTGGGCACTACTTAATCATGATTCGAAGTGGAATGCTTTTCACCACTGTTAACTAACAGCATACATCTTGGGTGATAAATGGTGAGCCTCAACCCTCTGAGGAGCTTCAGTCCAGATCTGCCTCTGACTACTGCCTGCTCCAAGCTCAAATAGCAAAAAGTACATGTGAGGGAGAAAAATTGTCAGTGGAACCTCTTGCCCTCAAAGACACATGTTGAAGGCATTTGCAATACTTGCCCCCACAAATCTCAGCAAGGGTCTAGAATCATGTGAGCCTGGTGAAGGTTGATATTAACCATACCAAAAAGTCATTTTCAAAACACATCAGTGTTTTTAAAACCAGTTTAAAATGTTTTGTCTTGTGAAAACAACTGGAAGAGCTATTGAAGCACGGGAGATAAGAGTTTTGCCCAGAGATTAAGACCACACCAGATTCTTTAACAAGAGGAGAGCTTTATTAAGGCACCTGAGTCTAGCTATCACCAAAGTGATATCCAAAATGCTAGCTCCCCAAGTCTTGCAGTCATTCACATTATATACTATAAGTTTTATCACGTCACTAGCCTCAGACAATGAAAAGTTGTTTTTCCTCTTTCTTCATATAGAAACACTTTATCAAAAGGAAACATCTTGAGTATGCATGTATTGTCTTCTTGAGGTTACATTACCTATGTCAGCTTAAATCACATACACAATAGGAGATAAGAACATATGTTTTTGAAAAGGAAGCTATAAAAAATAGTTATACCCGAATCCGTGAACCACAGACACCTTAGTTGGGGAAGATAACATTGTTAGCACACTTTAAAGAGGAAATGGCTTCCAAAGGAAGCACCAAACCACTAGTCTAGCTTAGGAAAAACAGGAAACAGATTTGGTCAGAGAGTTTATAGGGACAGACTAACCAATGTCTTAAATACTTTTGACAATCTTGTGTGATATCAGACAGGCCTTATTTAGATTAAGGTATTATTTTTAATATTCTGCTTCAACCCTAGAGTCGGATTTGACTGGCTTTCAAGCAAGGGAACCTTTACCTTTACCTTTTATACTGACACATCTCTTTGCAATGATCAACTCATTTATTTCTAATACATTTTTTCTCATCCCCTCCACTTTCTTCATTGTCTCATGTCTGCAAGGACTTCAAGGTGTCCTGAGACTTAGACCCCCAAATACAAGGAATGCAACCAATGGTGCCTGTGATGTCAGCAGTTGGCACCCTGTGGAATAGGCTGAGCTTAGCAAAACTTATTGGAATGGGAGTGGAGACTGGTGGAGCAGGGCAGGGCGGGGGAGAAACTGGTAGTACCTGATGGTAGAGTCAGAGCCTTGTGGCAGTTGGCAGTACAATGAATATTCCTCAGCAAAAAGCCATCTGGAAATTCTTTGTCCTGTTTTATATTTGAAGAATCTGAGGCTGAACGAGAAATCCCAAGACCTGTCAGTGAATCTACAGAATTTATTTTTGTAGCCCAAAGAAAACCACTTCCTTGTTCATTCCTTATAGGTCCATTGTATAGGAAGCAAATAATGCAACTGAAATAGAAATGAGCTTAAAATAATTATGACTAAATTTTCTTTGCGTTGGAAAGAATGTGGAGAAAAGGGTGCTTTTTACTTGTATGGTGGAGCTGTGTTCAGATAGAGCATCTTAGGGAACAAGTGACATTTCTGGTGTCCAGTTTGGAGATACTACACATTTTGCATTGAACATGTTTGACAGTCAAACTTATCTTGCTTGACTTGGAAGATCAAGTGTGAGCTGATCACTGGGTCTATTTAGTTTGGCAGCTGAACAATTTGAACACATGCCAAATAGGTTTGTATCAGATGTTTGCAATACTGTACGTGTGTGAAAATGCTCCCAAGCTAAACATATTGACAGTTATTACCACCGCTAAGGATTACTTACAAACTCCATACATTAAGATTTTTTAAAATGCAGCCGCTATCTATGACTGTGTTATATGATTTGTGACTAACTTATAACTTGTGATTGATTCATATGATCTGAACGATCCCCTCTTTCCATACCATCCATCCAGCCCACCAGCTAAGATCTTCCTCACAAGCTCTGCCCTCTGTACCCTTGCCTTCAGAGATAAGGCAGGTAGAGACCAGAGATCAGCTGTAGCACCTCATGCATGGATTGCCCTTCCCCTTGAGACTTGACTGGAGCCTGTGCTGCTCTTTTTTAGATGTCAGGCCAAACCCTTTTTTAAAACCCAGACTTTCAATTAAAGGGTTAATCTCTTAACACCATTTTTATAGTCTGCTTTAAGTTTGAAAACTGTAAAACTTGTTAAAAGCTGCTCCATGTTTTATGTTTTTTATGCCATGGGTAGATTTTTAATGCTGGTTTTTAATTAATAAATATGATTATGGTGTATTATGTTTTTATTGTGTTTGATTTTATAAGCCATCTTGGGCAGGTTCCCTAGAGCTGTCACATAGACATTTTCTACATAAATAAATAGTAAAAATTAAAAGTGTGCACCTGGTTAAGCTGTCAATTGCCTACTGAGTGGAGCAGAGGTGCAGTAAAGGGGGGCATAGAATTCAATCATGCTATGTAACAACACAGAGGCATGAAAACCTAATGGAGCTGTATTGAATTCTCAGGAAGGAATATAGTGAAACAACCTGCTG